GCAACAATGAATGAATGGAATCCCAAAATCTCTGTAGATGTTCATTGAAATGAAAAATAAACAACCTAAATTAAAAAAAATTCATAAAACTGTATTTTAAAAATCAAATCCAAGTTTGATTTTAGAATTATAATTTTACCACTTCTGGTAAGGAAACATAAAACAGATGAGAAGAACAATTTATTTTATCTAGAATTTAATTTTAAAAATGCATGCACAAGTTGCAACATAGTTCAATATGACAGTACTCATCAATGTTTATTTTCATATAATCTTCTCTGCTCATATGTAAGTCTCACAAGTTGAGAGAGAAAAAGGGCTGTTATACAGCCCAAGCTTTGAATCACTGCATGACTGTGATACCTTTGAAAGTTGCTTAAATTTTCTGAGGTTCTTCAGCTATAAAGTATGACTTACTTGAAATGTTCTTGTGTGAGTGGAGGTAAGCTGATTTGTACAAAATATTAAGGAACTAATTAAAATGTATTAGTACGTAATATTTTATTGAAACTTGACAGTACAGTAAAATTTTAGTCAATTCAGTTAAATGATTGGAACTCTAGGGACACATTGGTTACCACATGGTACTTATACAATTATTTAAGTATATATGAAAAATAAAAGTACATTTATGGATAAGTTTTATCAAATATCTATTGAATGTTAACTAAATGCCTATAGATGCTATAAATACACAGAATAGCACATGACCTCAGACCCCAAAGTACTCAAACGTCTGGTTGGAAAGATAGATGAGTAAAAAGATAAACAGCATGAGCAAATAAAAAATAGAAACTGGAGGGACAGAGCATTAGAGTAAAACTCCCCAGCAGAGGAAACGTGAACAGATTCCTAAAGGAGATGAGTGCAAGTTTGTGAGACAAAATGTTATTACACATAGTAATACTGTTGTTGTATTGTTGTTGTTGTTGTTGTTGTTTTGTGTCATCAATTTGTCTGTGACTCATAGTGACACTCCCTACTTCTGAGCCAGTCTCACCAGCATATCCACACCCACTGTCTCAGTTACTATGTTAATCCATCCTATCTGGTCTTCCTCTGTGCCCTGTCCCTCCACCCTTCTAAACATGGTGTCCTTCTCCAAGAACAACTCCCTCCTGGCCACATGCCCAAAATATGTGAGCTAGAGATTCAAAATCCTTTCCTCCGAAGAGCAGCTTAGTGTCACTCTCTCCAAGACAGACCTGTTTGCTCTTTTGTTGGGCCATGGACTCTTCAAGACTCTTCTTCAGCACCAAAACTCAATGACATCAGTTCTTCTTCTTTTATGTTTAGCTATTGTCCAGTAATTGCCAGAAACTTCCCATAACTTATAAAAAATTGTCTGGACCTAATTATGACAGACCGGTATGTTTAGATTTGTTTTGATGTTGTTTTGGGGAAGTAATTGAAAGAATTTGAGCCAGAGAATGACGTCATCAAATACGTGACTTCGAAAAATTTACTAATCCAGTTTTCTCTGTTACATTGTATTCTATCACTTTCTAGTCACATATTAAATCAACTTCTATATCAGAGGAAACAAATTGTTTAAAGTAGTCTTATCACATTAATTCTAGACAATTGTGTAGTCATGATATCTTTTGGAACCTATGACAATTGCCACCCTGATATTTAAATTTTAGTAGCTCTCATAAGTGAGATACAAAGTTCATCACATTTGACAATCTCATTTATTTAACTTTTATAGCATGAAACAAAGGGGGGAGAAATTTACTTTTGAGCTATGTCCAACATCCTAATCCTTTTAGATCACTTGGCACAGGGATGTCACAGACATTTGTTCCAATGCACAATCCTCATGTGGTAATAATCCTTCATCATAAGTATATCATTCTTGACAGTAAAAGCACTGGTTGGTGTGTTTTACATTACACATTACACGGTCCCTTATCCACAGCCTGATTTATAGAAGAAAGAACATTTGCTAAGCATAAAGTAATTAAAACCTCCAGGTCTCCAATCTCTTCATTTCAGACAGTAATACAGTTTTCTGCACTTCACGTTCAACTTACAGCCCCCTTTATAGCTAAAAGTAGTAAACATATTAGAGACCTCACACAGAAAATCAAGATAGCTTTGGTGATCAGATCTGTGATCAGTGTGTTCACTAGATTTCTAACCTAAGTTTCTTTCTCGCCTATATTACAAACTAGTGTGCCTAGCTTTCTTTCTAGGCCATTATAGTACATCTGTTTGGTGTGCTGGTTTTTCAGTTTGCCTTTCCACCCCTATGTGAGTCACCTTTCTGTTCAAGGAGCCAATACTTGACTTCTTCCCTGATCTCATCCTTGATAGTATGCAGTTATTAGGTGTACCTAAACTTATTGTGATCAATCTGGATCCCAGTTTCCTGAAACAAATAAATAAATGGAACTTAAATATTTAGCCTTACAATGGTTTTTGAAAAATTATTTTATTTTCTATTGCTTTGCTTACAAAGTTCATATACACTGTGTTCCATACTCTTTTACATTCATGTTGTGTTTCATACAATCATTCCCATTCATTATGTTCTATAAAAGTAATCACCATTAGACCATTGTCTTTTAAGGTCCCTGCCGAATCTTTCCCATTTCCTTTTTTCCTCACTCCAGTCACAAATTGTGCAGTCCTGTGATCCATCCTCAGCCCTCTGCTCCCACCCCTTTCCTTCTTGGATCCCCGTATGTGTTTTACTAGTTATCCTTCTATTTTTAAAATAATAGTCTCATGCAGTATATATCCTAATGAGACTTAATTCACTCATCATAATTCTCTCCAGTTTCTCCCAAGTTATGTAGTATTTTTCCTTATCTTTGCTCCTGAGTGCTACATAGTATTCATTATGTGACTGCACCCTAGTTTCTCAGTTCATTCAGTTATAGTAGGATGTTTGAGCTGTTTCTATTTTCTTGCAATGGTGAATAGCACAGCTATGAACATTGGTGTACAAATCTCCATTTGTCTCATAATTTCCCTGGGGTAAATTTCTAGGAATGGAATATCTGGGTCATACTGAGTTTCTATGTTCAACTTTTTTAAAAAAACACCAAACTGCCTTCCAGAGTTATTGTACCGTTTTACAATCCTGCCAGCAATATACAAAATCTCTATATCTCCACATCCTCTCCAACATTTCTTTTTTTCCTCTCCAACATTTATTATAACTTTGCCACTGTTAATGGGGTGAGATGGATCTCATTGTGCTTTTGATTTGAATATCTTTCATTGCCAGTGATTTTGAGCATTTCTTCATGTGTCTGTTGGCCATCTGAATGTATTCCTCTTACAGTAGTTTCTTGTCATTGTTGTTTTTTAACAAATTTGATTTTGTAAGAACATACCAAGAAAGCAGAGGACAGTGGGGGAAATAAATGTATGGTTTAGAGTCACATGAATTAACGTTTACTGAGTTAGATCCACCAAATGTATGAGTTACCAAACTGAATGCCTTACACACATCATACCACAATTGCCCTGTCCATACAGAAAGAGACTGGGCCTTTTAGAAATAAAAATATGTCCAAAGTACATTGCTAACACCAAACAGAAACCTGTTACTGTCAAGTCATTTCCAATTGATGATGACCCTTCATCTGGTACTCAGATAAGTCTTTAAGAGAGAAGACTGCCTACTATCTCCCTTAGAGAGTGCTGTGTTCAAACCGCTGATCTTTCTGTTAGTAGCCCAGCTCATAATGCACTGCTACATCACCAGAGCTACTATAGGCTAATTCTAGGATTCAACTCCAAATAAGTCTTTTTACTTGTGCTCTTTTCCCTCTTCAACACTGTCTTTCAACAATGAGACTTTAGATAAAAGTCATTGTTTTGTTAAACAGTGTATTACCCTGGCATAGTGTTTTGAGGCTTATATTGTACTTTCATTATATTTTATTTGATCTCTGTTAAGAATGCTGAGGTAAGTATAATTATCTTAGTTTTATAAGAGAGAAAATGGAGTTTTGGTAATAGTAAATGAGTTGTACATTGTAAAGCAATCGATAAATGGCACATCCAATTTTCATCAATTTAAGAAAGGTCAGATATTTTATCAAGATTTTTTTAAGTGGGATACTTTTTGGATTGCTGGCCCTAAAGAGTTTCAGCCCTCTGTCTGATCTGCTGCTGAGGTTTTAAATTTATGAACATTAATATTGACATCCCAAGGTGAAATTGTGTACATTTCCTCTAGTATGCTTTAAAATTTCCACTATAGTCTTTCTGGTTTATACAGAATCTCTGCTTTTATGCCTGATGATGAACATACTTTAGTAAAAACTCTATATCTTACTCCTCCATATCTCGAAATTATTTCACTATATAAAGCATCAAACAAAATAATGGGAGGGGACAACCATACAAATCCAACCTCAGTATATGAACTTTTCATATAAAAATATTATCCTGGTGATGCATAAAATTATCATGACAATGCAAAAATTATCATGGCAATGCATAAAATAGGTCTCTCCTTTGCTTTCAAGACACCTCTCTACCCAATGTGATCTGACTTTTATTTTACTGTTTGGATCTTCATTTATAAATTTTTTTGCAGGTTTTGTGATGAAGGAACCTGTACAGATAAAGCCAATATTCTGTATGCTTGGGCAAGAAATGCTCCCCCCACCAGACTCCCAAAAGGTATATCAGAGACTTTTTGAATAGTCTTATTTTAAGCAACTTACTTCTGATTCCAAAATACATTTTGTACCTTTCCAACAGTTGTTAACAATGTTCTTTATTGTAGTTTTACACTAAAAGTATTAGAATCACTTGCTTTGTATTTTAAAGTTTTCATTTAGGTATTTATTCCTTTCTGTGCTTCTCTCTGGTCAATAGTTTTGCCTACTTCACACTTTAGATAGAATTAGAAAATAACCAAGTACGTAACAAGCCACTTTTGTCCTAAGGCACATTGGTTCTTGACAACTGGAGTATTTTCTGAGCCAAGAGAGCTAAGAATTAGATAAATTGCTATTTCAGCAAACAGATTTTTTGTTGTTGTTATAGTCCTGGAAGCTAGGTATTAATGGAATGCCAAACCACTGTCAGGTTTTTTACTTCAATATGTAAGTGAATTGCCAGACACTTTTTTTTAATTTTATGACCTGAATATTTCTTAATATTAAAGAAATTGTGCCTCACAGTTCTTTCATGGTTCTGAGATAACATCGTGTGATATATACATTCTTTTACCTTCCAAACTCATGGCACTGTCATGAATTGATGACTGTGTTACCTTGCTTAAAATGAGACTCGGGATTCTCTTTAAAGTTTATCAGTTGACTGCTGTTAAACAAGTTTGGAAACTAGTAGGTGGATCTGTTGTGTATTTTTTAATATTTTTAAGATAAATTAATATAAGAGATAGAAACAGAATTTCCCTGCTTATAAGTATGTTTTCTATAGATTATTTTTTCTTAATTTTTGAGAAAATTATAGTAATAATACTGTTAGGAATGATGAGATACCAAAAATTCACTGATGCTTTGAACTTTATAATTTAATTGATCTCCTTAGTGTGTGGGAAACAGTAATTTCAAGATTAAGGAGTCTATATCCTCTAATTTATTAGAAAATAAAAATTACTGTGAGCATATATAAAACAAAATGAGAGATTGTTTTTAATATGTTCCTCTTTTTCATCGATATGGACAGAATTTTGTTTTTGTCTGCATCTTTAAAATTGTTTAAATTAGCTTCATATGATATAAGTGATTGTTCTGTTTCTGAAGGGACCACAAAAATGAAAAGAATTTAATCAGAGCTTTGTGAGGATTGATATAGTAAAATTTTTAAGTGAAGATAGGCTTAGTTTAATTTTCATAAGACATGTCATATATGCTATTTTATTTCCTCTTTCATAGTTCAGCATCTGATATTAGCCAGTACGTTTCCATTTTAAAACACTTATTTTAGAACTCTTATCTTTAAAATATTAATTTACACTATTTTATAAATCTGAATTTAGGTGTTGGATTCAGAGTTGGAGGAGATGCTGGAAGTAAATATTTTGTACTGCAGGTGCACTATGGGGATATTAGTGCATTTGGAGGTAAGTTTTAAAAGTTATGAAGAAAGCTTATTACTACATTTTAAAAATAAATATGTATACATACTCTATTTTTTATATATGAAAATTAAAATTTCAGTTAATTCTGACTCATTTAGAACTTTGCTCTATAGGATTTTCAATTCAAAAATGCCCGTTTAGACTTAAAACTGCATCCCTGTCATTCCTAAACGAGCATCTTGACCATTTGCAATACCAGGACCTCACTCCTGTGCAGCCCTAAATACGCCCCTAGACACCTGTTGTTCTACACATATTTCCAATGAGCTTCATATGAAAGCCTCTTTTCTTATTATAGAATCATTAACATGAGGAAGGGGACCTGTTACCAAGGCAACCGAGACTGGTGCACGTATTCCTTCTGCTGCATTTAGTCAAACTCCAACTGCATTCCTGATTCACACTCATATGTCCATGGGAGTGTAAATATTAAATAGTTTACTCCTTGGCTTTCTACTTTCTTCTGATTTATACAAATTCCTTTGAATTCTTTAATCTGACATTGTATTTCTGTAAACTAATTTGACATATTTCCCTCTCCATACACATTAAATATTTGTTGGACAGCTGAGTCTAAATAGATGTCCTTTTCTGCCCATGAAACATCCCTTAAGGCCTTTGCTGAGAGAGTCTCCTGTGATGAGGGGGGGTCTCTGTGGATTTCTAGCATTCAGAATTGTGACAGTAAATGCAGTCCACCTCTGTAAAGTGGTATTGAAAGAATAATTCCATGTAGTTGAAGAGTATAATTACTGCCGAAGTCAGATATATTACCAGGTATTCACGTTTCTTTGTACTCTTCCAAATAAAATGTTTCTGCATTATAAAATTTACTTTGAGCCATAAACAAGCAGTTTTTTTAATTTTCAGAACAAAATCTGATATTAACTAATTGTAGTGCTGAAGCTCAGTTTCTTGAAAAGGACTGTTGTTGTTCTTATTGATTGCCTTTGAGTTGAACACGACTTGTAGCAACCCAATGAACAAAAGGCCTGAAGCCTCTCTACAACTATCGACAATAACTAAATAATGTTTATATCTGAAGGGAGCTCTAGTGATGTAGTCTAAAGAGAGTTGCCCTTCTAACACAAAGTCTGTGTCTTTCTGATAATTCCACTGTGGAAGAAAGACGGACAGTCTCTCATGTGACTTGTTGTTGTTGTTGTTATGTGCTGTCAAGTCATTTGCGACTCATAGCGACAGCCCTAAACCCCGCTCTATCCTGTGCCAATCTCATTGCCTCTGACACACCCATCCCGATTACCCCAGTCACTGAATCAGTCCACCTCAGAGTGTCTTCCCCTCCTGCGCTGTCCTTCTACTCTACCCAGCATGATGGTCCTCTCCAAAGACCTATCTCTCCTTGCAGCATGTCAAGGTATGTCAGACAAAGCCCCAGAATCTTTGCCTCCAAGGACTAGCCTGGTTTAACCCTCTCTTGGATGAATCTGTTTTCTTGGCAGTCCATAGTACATTCAATACTCTTCTCCAGCACCACAGCTCAAAGGTGTCAATTCTTCTTCTGTCCTCCCTAGTCATTGTCCAACTCTCTGATGCGTAACAAGTGATTGCAAAGGCCATGGCCTGCCTCTGAAATCCAGTGATGGGTTAGCTATGAACAGATTCTGACGCTATATGGCAATAAGTGTAGTTTTTGTTTTTTGGTTGTGGTGTTATGGTTTTTAGTTTTTTGCTCTATTTTTTTTCTGCTATTTCAATAACAAATAATTATCTGCTATAAGAATGTACCATGTTGGATCAATGGAAAAGTCAAATTCTAGCATTATTGACTTTCAAAATATTAATAGGATTTTAACGTTATTCAGAAAGACAAGTGCATTCTTCCTTGACATCCACAACCAAAGTAGCCCAGCAACTTGCTTCCAACTCAGTGACGTATCAGGTTTACAAGATGTAGGAGGAGACTCTTTTTTCCACTGAGAAGTTGTTGGATTCAAACTTCAAACCTTTTAGTTAGCAGTGTAATATTTTATCCACTATATCACCAGGACTCCTTCATAAAGAGAAAAAGGGAGCATAATTTTTGTGATTTTTATTTGTAGCAGAGTGTTGAGTGTGTGACTAGAGTGGTTTCTTTGGAATTACATTAAATAATTGTATTGCAGTTTTGGGGGTTGTTTTGAAAATCGCACAAAATGTGAAGCTAGGAAAGCATCACTTCCCGCAATTTGATGGGTGGAGGGAGGAGTGGGTAAAGGGAATGGGAAAGATCTAATGTGAAAAACAATTAAAAAAAAAGAAAAAAAATGTACATGAATTTGGTAAGTAAACCAGTATAAAATTAAAATTTTATTTAAACAAAAACAGCATTATTAAATTAGTTACCATCACAACATCAGACCTATGCTAGGTGTATAAATCTTCTTCCCAAAAGAGCTTAAAATATTTGGTAGATACGGTGTTCTGGTGGCCTTGTAGATACGGAGTCGTGCTGCCAACTCAAAGACAGGTGGTTCAAATCTACCAGCTGCTCCAAAAGAGAAATATAGAAAAATGTGTGATTTATAGTTTCTGAAAACACACTGAAGGATATGAGTCAGCTCCAACTTTTTGACACATAACAGCAGCAATAGAATAGAGAAGTACAGTCATGTGTTTATGGACAATAAAGGATCTCTGGTGCGTTAGTGGCAGGGATCTGTAATGCCAACCCAGTGGCACATGGTTTGAATCTACCAGCTGCTCCACAGGAGAAAGATGGACAGTCTCATCCTATGCAATTTGCTGCCTCTGAAAACCTGCTGAAGCATCAGGTGCCAGTCAGTCCTGACTTGATAGTACACACCACAACTGAACACGGATAAGTGGGAGTGTCTGTGTTGGCCTGTAAGAGGAGAGTGGTACTGCTTAGGAAAGGCTTCAGAGAAGATGATACCAGAGCAAAGTTTTGATGGGTGATCAGAAGCTCCCAGGTATGGAGGGGTAGACATATTTCAGAAAAGGATAAAAACACCTGCAGAGACAAACTGCCACTTGCAGCATTCAAGAGTTATGGAATGTAACAGAGAAAAGTGACAAGGAGTGAGAACAGGTGGGAAAAAAAGGGTCAAACCATAAAGATCCTTGATAAGACTTTATTCTGCAGGTAGCAGTTGAGAGCACTAAGCTTTCCACAGAGTAGTACCCTGGTTGGATTTTCATGTCATAAAGCTGTTTAGTCCTAGCTACTAACTTCATGGGGGAAGAAGGCTTGGGGCTTTTTGCGGCTAGGATTAATTATCTTTCTAATGTAACCTCCTTAACTTATCATGAACCAGTAATTATGGAAAAGAGAATGCAATCTCATTAGGAAAGAATGACCCATGTAGGTGATAGTTTGGAACTGTGTAAGGTGGCTCAATCTGGAACCACACAGACTAGTTTAAATCCTGGAAAGGCACCTGCTGGTTTGGTTTAATAATTTCCTGGTGGTGCAGGTTGTGATTGTGCTCCATTAGTAACCAAAAGGTTGTAAATTTTAGTCCTTCCAGAGGTGGCTTAGAAATATAATTTTGGAAAACTAGCCAACAAAAATCCATCAAAGGCTGCTGTATCTGCACATGAAGTTACTAAGAGTTGGAAATGCATGAACAGCAGCTTAATTTTGTTAGCCTGAACAGCTTTCTAAAGTTCTCTGCACTTCCCTTTCCACATACTTAAAATGGAGATTTTAATTAGGGAGTTCTGGCTCATAGTCCATAGTGAGTTTTACTGCTTAGAGCCATGGTCTACCAGCTAGTTCTTAGGAAAAAGGTGAGCCAGTTTTCTGTTATGATATCCAGCCTTGGAAACCCAATGAAGGGACTCTGACAGAGTTTCAATTAAATGAGTGGTTCTTATAAAAGTACCTGGTAAATGCTCAAAAATGTTGCTGTTGTTGTTGTTGTTGTTGTTAGGAGCCATCGAGTTATAGGCGACTCATGGCAACTCTATGAGCAAAAGACCCAACACTTGTATAACTTTCGTCATTTCTCCAAGTTCATAGAGTTTCTGTAGGCAAGCTGTTTCGGAAGTGGATGCCATGCCTGCTTTATCAGTATTATTTTTCTTATCTACTGTTGAGTTGGCCCCCAACTCATGGCTGTCATGCAGAATGAGACTAAATGCCATCTAGTCCTGAGCCACCTCCATGAAGAGCTGGAGATCTTACCATTATCATACATAGAGTTTCCCTTGGCTAATCAGAAATATATCATAAGGGTCTTATATCTAGTCTGCCTTTGTATAAAACACTTAGACTAAGTGCAAAGATCTGTCTTGACATGTATTTAGCATCATAGCAACATGAAACCTTCTCTGAGGGACAGAATGCATGTGAAGTCACTGGCCAAAAAGTAAACCCAAGCGTCTGACATGGAAGATGATAATTCTACCACCTAAATACCACTGATTTCACTATCATTATTCCCATCATCACTGACGTGAAACTAACTCATAGTTGACTTTCCAGTAGGTTTTGGAAACTCTAAGTTACACAACAATTTATGGTTTCCAATGGGTTTTGGAAGCTAAACAGTGACTAAGGATGAAGGAAGAATTGAGGCCTTTGAGTTTTTATGCTGGAGGAGAGTCTTGAATGTACCATGGACTGCAAGGAGAACAAATAGATTTGTCTTGGAGAGGGTAAAACCAGGTTTCTCCTTGGAGAAGGATTTTGAGACACTATCTCATATATTTTGGGCACGTGGCAATGGACTAGTCATTGAAGAAGGACATCATGCCTGGATGGGTGTGGGGACAGTACAGGAGAGGAAGAACCGAAATGAAGTGGATTTACATGATAACTGGAGCATCGGGTTAGGTGTGTCAGAGTCAGTGAGCCTGGCTCAGAATAGGGCAGGGGTCAGAGTTATTGGACATAGGGTTGCTATGAGTCGTGGGCAGCTCAGTGACACATAACAACAACAGAACTGCACAAGAGGAGATTGTCCATCTTTCTCTCTTAGAGTCATTGGTAGATTCAAAGTGTCAGAGACTTTGGA